TTTTATATACACTACAAAAAAACAGACTTTAGGCGACGACTTTCGGCGGCGACAAAAAAAGTCGCCGCTGAAAGTCCACTTTCAGCGGCGACACCAAAAAGTCGCCGCTGAAACTAAGACTTTCAGCGGCGACAAAAGTGTCGCCGCTGAAAGTGGACCTTCAGCGGCGACTTTTTTTGTCGCCGCCGAAAGTGGACTTTCAGCGGCGACATTTTTAGTCGCCGCTGAAAGTTCGCCATTGAAACCAAGACTTTCAGCGGCGACTTTTTTGTCGCCGCTGAAGGTGGACCTTCAGCGGCGACATTTTTAGTCGCCGCTGAAAGTTCGCCATTGAAACCAAGACTTTCAGCGGCGACAAAAGTGTCGCCGCTGAAAGTGGACCTTCAGCGGCGACTTTTTTTGTCGCCGCCGAAAGTGGACCTTCAGCGGCGACTTTTTTAGTCGCCGCTGAAAGTTCGCCATTGAAACCAAGACTTTCCGCGGCGACTTTTTTTGTCGCCGCCGAAAGGGGACCTTCAGCGGCGACTTTTTTTGTCGCCGCCGAAAGTGGACCTTCAGCGGCGACTTTTTTAGTCGCCGCTGAAAGTTCGCCATTGAAACCAAGACTTTCAGCGGCGACTTTTTTTGTCGCCGCCGAAAGTGGACTTTCAGCGGCGACTTTTTTAGTCGCCGCTGAAAGTGGACCTTCAGCGGCGACTTTTTTTGTCGCCGCTGAAAGTATAATATAATAATATATATTTTATTTTACAATATTAATAAACAAATTCAATCTGGCTCAGCGGCAAGAAGGTTGGACACGAAAGGAGGCGGTCACGAGTTCGAACCTGGAAGAAGACACATTTAAGGTGAAAATATTTGGACGATGACGTGGCGAGGAGGAGTGATGTGGCAATGACGTGGAGATGGCTAGTGATGATGTGGCGGTCGGCAGTGATGATGTGGCCGCCGATGGCGATGACGTGGAGGTCGACGGTGATGACGTGGCGGCCGGAGATGATGACGTGGCATTGGTAAAGCCAATTCTTCTTAGGCATTACTTTCAGCGGCGACAAAAAAGTCGCCGCAGAAAACGCTTTCGGCGGCGACATTTGTCGCCGCCAAAAAGTCTTTCAGCGGCGACAAGAGTGTCGCCGCCGAAAGTGTTTTCTGCGGCGACTTTTTTGTTGCCGCTGAAAATCTTTTTGGCGGCGACAAATGTCGCCGCGGAAAGTGTTTTCGGCGGCGACATTAGTCGCCGCCGAAACTTCTAAAAGTCGCCGCTGAAAGTATCTTTTAGCGGCGACTTTTTTAGTCGCCACTGAAAGTTTTCAGCCACAGCTGCTACGGCAACGACTTTTCAGCGGCGACTTGTCGCCGCAAAAAACTTTCGGCGGCGACTTTTGTACTTTCAGCGGCGACTTTTGTCGCCGCTGAAAGTCAATTTTTTTGTAGTGATATTTTGGCACTTTCTTTTATGTTCCTTTGGTTTCCCCAAAAACAATGTGAGGGGGAGGAAAAAAAACTCTTGACGTGTTACTTGACAGTTAATAGACTACTTCCAATTTTAATATAATAACTAGTTAAAAATTTAATCTGATTCTAAATATAAGAGTCTAATTTACTTTGTCTCTAATATTTATCTATTTTTTCTTCAAATAATCCATGTTGATTGCACATGTATGTTAAAGTCTTATTAAGGGTAATTCATTTGCACATGATTCATAAAAATATTTTAAGAAAGACGATATCTATTTATTAGAATTAACTAATTCAATTACTTTTCTTAGAGGGGTGTTTGGTATGCGTCAAAAGCACTTTTAAAAAGTGCTTTTACTAAATCAAGATAAAACCTTTCTCACATACTTATTTTGTATACTATAAAATTATTTTGAAAATTATAGTTTAATTTCTATCCAAATACCTTCTTAATATTGGCAAATTAGTTTTTTAGTTGTTATATATCAAGTAACGGAGGCAGTATGATATACATGTGAACCTTTGATGTTTTTCTTTGAGAGGACTATCCATATGGATGTGAAGATCTCAGCTCTGTGGGCCATTATTGATACAAGGCCTTGCTCTTTTAGGTAGAAGCCCAATTAGCTCATTCCCTCACTACACCTATTAACCTTTCTTATTTATAATGTTTTGATTTTTAATTAGAGTGGGTCCTGTCATCTTGCATGGACAATATGGACTGTGGAGCAAGTCCAGATTAAAATTAAGTTGTATTATATTTATAATATGCAAATATATAAACTCATATAATAGAGAGAATGACAAAAAAAAAATCTAAAAACTGCATAATTCCAAATTAGGAATTTCTACAAAAGCATGATGTTATTTGCAAACCAAGTATAGTCAAAATCTATTAAAATGTCAGAAACAAACTTGATTTGGGATTTAATCATTTTCATATTCTTTTTCTGTCATTTTCTTTGTATAAAATACACAAATGTAATTTATATATTTTATGCATTATCCAAATGACAGTAAAATATGCAATGCATTAGTACTTTATAAAAATATTTGTTATTGATCAATATCAACATGGAATTGAAGGGAAAGAAGTGGGAGTGGGAGTGGAATTAAATATAAGTTTTAAGCCAAGCTCATAAAGCTCTTCATCTTACTCTTACACAATGAATTTTATAAACCTTTTGACTTAATTTGTTGAGCAATATGTTGTTGTCTCCCCAAATCTACTTCTTCAAGCTCTCTCATCTTCTTTTCTTGGACAATCCTACAATAAAGATATATTTTCTCCAAATCCAAGTACGTACGTAGTTAGTCTAATATTGATATGTATGATATATTATAACTTTAACTTAACTTTATATTTCACTATTTGTTACAAATATGGATCAAATAAACTTCTCACATAGACTCTTAGGTCTAACACTGATTTCCTTAAAAAAGAAGAGATTCTAATCATTTAGGATAATGTAATAAAGACAAAAACAAACGGAATGCTAACAACAACAAAATAAGTACAAACTATCTAGGACAACACATAATGCCTGAGGCCCAAGACCTACTTCCAAGAAAAACCAGACCAGAAAATTTGTAATAATACAAATGAATTCAAATGACTAAGAATTTCATATAATTAATAAAATGTATTCTTTAAAAAAATTAATATATATATATCTAGGAGATAAGACTAAGAACACAATTCAGTAATATTATATTGAAGTCTTCAGTTATATATCTCCCTCCATTTAAAGGTCAAACAATTATGAATGTAATTAGCATCAATGCTTAACCACTAAGTTATGTTTAACTTAGAATAAAACTAGAGAGAGAGAGAGAGAGAGATGATCTTTATACAGTGAACACAAAATAGATGAAAGAAAAGAAGAAAAGGAACTAAACAAGGAAAAAGAAATCTATCTGTTACAAAATAGTAAAAGAAAGGAAACCAAGGCAGGAAGCAGTAATGAGAGTAGTGGATGCGTGTGTGAGTGTGTGAGATGGTGTCTGTATATATGGTTGTGAAAAGTAGGCACACAAAGAGGAAGAGAGAGAGAGGGAGAGAGAGGGATGGAAGGGTTTTGCATGGAAGCGATTCTCCCAAGGAGAATCGAATCAGGCCACTTCCCTTATTATCACTTTATTCTTCTTTACAGTTTGCCTCTCCTTCTCTTTACCCTTCCCCAAGGGAATGGACAGACAACACACACCTCTCTCATACATTCACAACAGAAAAAGATGGTCAAAATCACTCCTCCAACACTTGTTATTCCTTCATCATCACCTTCTCTTCTCTTTATTGAAACTCACCATCCCCCCTCTCTTCCTTTTCCTTTCTCTTTTCCCATTTTCTATATATCTTTCCTTCTCTCTTTCATTCTATTATTTCTCCTTCTTCTCATGCATTAATTTCATAGTGTCACTCTCTTGCATTATGGAAAAGATCAGTCATCCTAAGACCAAATTAAGTTCAACTGTTGGTGAAGATCTCAGGATTTGTTGAGTTCAACCTCTCAGTTCTTTTGATCGTGTAACTCTTTCTTTTAAAAGCTTTAGCATACATGGGGAATAAAAGAATATTCAAAATGGAAAGCAGCAACTATTTTTTCGAGCGTTTTGACTGTCCCAAGAGATAGTAATTGAAAGAGACTTGAATTGAATCCCCTCTTTTGTTGTTGTTATTATTTGGGATAGCTTGTGGGCCTATACCTATATATATGTTTATATGATTTTCATGGTACGAATATTCATCAATTTACATGGCAGCAATATATATTGCTGAGTAGGATTCCGCATCGTCCAATAGCAGACAGACACCTTTATTTTTCTTTTAGCTTTTAGTTTTTCTTTTGCTTCTTTATCGTCTGAGATAGATTCTGTATGTGGGGCTGCGGCAATTCGAATTGAACCGTATTGCTAAATGCTATGGTCAAAGGGACTTTCTAGGGTTCATGGCGGATTTGATATTGATAAGATGCTTGGGACTATTTCTGTTGTGCCATTAGGTTACACTAACAAGCTGTGCTCCTTTTTTGTGTCTCTGAGTTTTTTGACTTGCCTAGCTTGCCACGCCTATATGTGATTTCGTGCTCCTCTTTTGTCATAAAATAGTTAATTTATTAGTTAACATATATGCTTCATATATAGCATTACATATCATGATTTAATTTTAATCATTTTGGAGAGAGATATGAGAGTGGATTAAGAACAAAAATGTTGGTCCTTATCCTATAAAGACTTGAGAATCCAGAACCGTACAGTTAAAAACTTAAACAAATTACAAAGTTGAAGCTGCCCCACACCACACACACTGCCAAATTAAAGTAAATCTGTTCAAAATTCAAAGTACATAGTTCTCGTTGGAATTGTAGCTCGCAAGAATAATTTTGCCTTTATCTCTTTTTCCTCCTTTAGAATTCATCGATTCCATTTATCAAGGTTGCCCTTCCATGAACATACTCCAAAAAAAAAAAAAAAAAAAGGTACTTCACGACCCCCATTTATTCTCTTTCTGCCAGTGATCTCTCCACCGTATATATAAACCTTCCTTCTCATCACTTTCCCTCATCACCATATCCCTTCACTCCCTGGTCACACTGCCTCAACTGATCTCTCGCATTATCTCAAGGTCTGTCTCACTACTCTTCTCTGCGTCATTTACACATATACACACATACACATGAAATGAATCATATATATGTATATATATATGTTGTAATGGAACAGTGATTTGCAGGGCAAGGAAGTGAGGATCACTATGAGCAGGCCGGGAGACTGGACGTGCAGGTCATGCCAGCACCTGAACTTTCAGAGAAGGGACATGTGTCAGAGATGTGGGGATTCAAAGTATGGAGATTTTGGGAATGGTGGGTATGGAGGAGGAGGAAGAATGATGATGGGATCTTCATTTGGGTTTAGCAGTAATAGTAGTACTGGTTCTGATGTTCGTCCCGGTGACTGGTACTGTTCCGCTGGAAACTGTGGAGCTCATAACTTTGCCAGCCGATCAAGCTGCTTCAAGTGTGGTGCTTTCAAAGATGACTTTGCTTCTGCCTTCACCAGCTCTGACTTCTCTTCCAGACCTTTTGGTTCGGCCTCTTCCAGACCTTCATGGAAATCTGGCGACTGGATATGCAACAGGTCACTTGAACATTACTATACGTAGCCTGACATATATAATATACGTACATTAATATGACTCCAGACATAAGTATATAAAACACTGACAAGACGGAATCTGATGTCACTGTCATGTTTTGGATATGTTGTCTAATTTGGACAGAAATATATGTGTTCTTTGTTTTTGTTGACTGCTTTTTCGGGTTTAGATATATACAAACTTGATGAGTACTTTATTTGTTGGGAATATAATACAGGTCAGGGTGCAACGAGCACAACTTTGCTAGCAGAATGGAATGTTTTAAATGCAGTGCCCCGAGGGACACGTACTAGAAATGAGATTCTACATCCACTTTTGGGTATGTCCCACACATCATCATTCGAACTCTGCATAAGTATCAATTTTGATGATGAGAGAATAATATATTATGTCTCTGGTTAGAGAACATTATATATATTTATTTTATTTAACTTCTTGCAGGGATTTCATGGATTCAAGCAGGGAGAGAGAGAGAGAGATGTGGCCTGATTTCCTGATTTTTCGTCAAAAGATAATTGTGAAAGCTTGTATTCGGATGGTTTTGAGGCCACGTAGTTAAAGATGGAAGCTGTATCAATCTCTCTTGTCCCTTTTTGTCAAAATTACCAACAGCAATTAATGTTCTTTTGGTGCTTTAATATTAAACTGAGTTTTCTTTTGTAATCCTAAGTACTGTGGCGTGGTTTTTTCCGAATGAAGATAATTATCCATCCCCTCTTTTTTCTTCTTAAATAATGCCTTCATGCTTCTCTAAAAACAAAATAGAACTGAACACACATACGTACACAAAGCTCATATATATATATATATATATATATTAACAGAATAATATCACAAAGGGAACATCGTTAAAATATCATTATGCAGTACCTACTGTCATGAAAGAAATATCAGGTTCTGCTAGAATTCACAAGCTTAGCCTTCTCTGGTCAACAACTTCAACCAAACCAACAGCTTATTGTCATCGTATTATGGTCACTACTTGAGCTAATACATACTTTATGTATATACATATTTGAAAGAGAGATTTGGCATTGGATTCCATTCACTGACTTAAAGTGTATGCCTTTGAAAAGGGTGCATATTGTGGATTCAAAAGATGACTTTAGAACTCTATATATTAATTAAATAATATAATAGCCTCTGCTTTTATGCAGATTTCTTTTGTTTCTTTTTTTATCTTCCTTTCAGGCAAGCTTTATTATCCTACTCGAGTACTCTCAAAACTTATAGTTTATATTCAAGTTAAATATAATTTTAAAAAAAGGAAACATGTTTTAATTGTCTGCGTTCAAAGTTGCATAACCTAACAGCTGTGGGTCCCTGGCTAGATGTTTTCAACATAGTTTAATACAATTAGTTCATCATCATATATTGCATAACTAGTAAAAGGGATATCAAATATATTATGTTTAGTATTTCTGTATATATTTTTGGACAAAACTTAGTTCAAATTACTTATATCTATTAAGTCAAGTTTTCCAATTACACTTGCTATATTACTATTGTTAGTTGTTAAAATGCATGTGTGTACTTGTATATTTGCCTGTAAACTTAACCTAATAGATATAAGCAACTTAACCAAAGTTTTTTCTTATATAGTCATTCACAAATAATATGAGAATATTTTATTGAAATAAAATTAAAAAATTTGCAATTTAAACTATTTAATAGTCTTGATAAAAAAGCTGTTTAATATTAATGTTTACCCATTAGTTTGGAAAAAACGGAGTAAAATAGTTTGTTTAGAGAAGGAAGAAAATAGTTTTTTTATACAAAACTTTTACGCAAAAATCAAACTCAACTCAAGTCAAAAATAGGACGCTTGATCTAGCCCATCACCTCATCCTATGTCATACCATGGTGAACAAGGTGAACTAACAACAAATCCTTGGCATTTACCTAGATATCCCTAAAGGTATGTTTGGCTCAATGAGAGGAAGGGGAGGGGAGGGATTTTAATGGAGGGAAGGGGGGGGATGGGATGGGAGTGGAAGGATTTTAACATTATCTTGTTTGGATTTATAAAAAAAGAGGGGAGGGGAGGGAAAAATATTTTAATAAGGATCATTTTGTTCTTATTTTATTTAAGGCGTGAGCATAATGATCACAACATGACAAAATATAGACATAATGGTCATAACATGACAAAATATGAGCATAATGGTCATAATATGACAAAATATTATCCTTTCCTTCCAAATCTTCCCAATTTTGGAGGGGAGGTTGAAGAAAATTTCCCCTCCCCTCCTAAAATTTGTGTGTTGCCAAACAAGGGAAATGATTAAAATCCCTCCCCTTCCCTCCCTCCCTCCCTCCCTCCCAAATCCCTCATACCAAACACACCCTAAATCTAGGATGTCTCCCCGCTCAACTCAAGTCAAAGACAGGGTTTTTGAGCTAACTCGTCCTATGTCATGCCAAGTTGAACAGGGTGAACTTATAACAAACCCTTGGCATTCACCTAAGCACTCTTATATCTAGGATGTCTCTCCAAATGTGGTAATAGGGAATGGAACCCCTTTCCTTATTTAGTCAAAAGGTACAGTTCTTATTGCTGAACTCACGGATGATGAGTAAGGTAGAAAATAGTTGAAGAAATGAACTTTTTCAATGATAAGTTGATAATGGATAAATCTGGGCCTGAACATAAAGATTAGCTAAGAATTGGTCAGTAAGTTTAGGTGCGATAATGGAATCCAAAGAGAGTCCAATTCTGTTACTTTTATTACTTGCATTTTTTGGCCCAAAGCCAGTTTAGAACTTTTGTTTTTGTTGCGTTTTTGTACGTTTCATGTTTTGAAATTTTTTGGTTGAATATTGAAGTATTAACATGGAATATAAATTAGTTAGTCCTTATAATTTATATCGATTTTTAAATATAGTCTCACATTTGAAAACGAACAAATATTAATCCAACTGGTATGCCTATCCACAAGGGTATAGTTTCAAATTTTGTTACTGTCATAAGGAGTTTATTATTAGATAATTTATATATGAAACATGCTTTAATAGTCTATTGAGATCTATTTCTCATGAACTTCGGTATAAAAAAAGAAAATTATTGAAAGCCATATGATTGCGGAACTTCTTGGTATTTAAAATTTTTTTGTGTGGTAAAGTTGGTATTTTAAATTTAAACGTTCTCAATTTGTGTTGGCAAAAGGATTTTAGAAAAATTGATGTTTATTGTGACTCTGTAGAAGCTCTTGGCATAATTTTGAGGGGGTGTATTCGTAGCCACTCTTTGAGGGATATTTTTTTTAAATGGTATTACATCCGATCCTTAATATAGAAATTTATTTGATTTTTATTTTGATTCTAATTATAAAACACTAATACACTTTATCTCTCATATTTATCTATTTTTTTAAATTAGTCCTTATAATAGTAGTTCTAACCAATGTATTTGATTAGTAAGAATATTTTAAGAAAAACAACACATATTCATTACAAATAACTAACTTACCTAGTTTTTTTTATCTACTCAAATTAGTCAACTAGCTTTTATATTAAAAACTGGAGGTAGTATTGTATTTCTTTTCCGTATATCAATTTGTATCGCATAAAAAAAAAAGAACTTAATAAGCAGTTTTTCAATTATAATTTACATGAAATACAAGGTAAATATGTGAGAAGCGTATTATCTTCATTTACGTAAAATATGTTCATAGGTACTTATGATTGTGATTACAAACAAGCCTTGGCTATCTCATAGAATAGAGGATAATTGATGCCTTCGTGATCAACCACCACTAATCAAAAGGTGAAACTTGATGAAGGCGATTAAGAGACTCTTGTTGTAAGAAAAAAGTAACGAGAGAGAAGAGCAGATTCGAGAGCCCCCGAAAAACATAACACATCTTTGCAGAATGTTGCTTGCACACCTTTTTTCCCTTTTCCGAATGAGTTTGCACGCTTTGATGCCTGCTTGAATGGCAAGTATTTTCTCTTACGAGTGGAAACTGAACAACATTCATAAAAAGACAAATCACAACAAGAGCCAACTAACTAATCCTCCCCCTGACCCCAAAAAAAAAAAAAAAAAACTATTCCTCCCCTTCTCATCCGTTACCTCTTGACGAATAGGTGGGAGTTAATCAAGAACAAGAAAATGACAACTATTTTAACATATTTGGGCGAAAGTTTAACAATGTACATAATATTTTAATGTCTTAATTGTATTTTTTTAATGTGTATATTTAAAAACAACATGTATTTTAAAATTCATAGAATATCAAAGCAAAACATGCTAATCCTTTTTATAAAGGTTTTTTTTTGTTTTATTTTATATTTTCTTTTTAAAATTTTAAATGGTTACTACTACCTCTATCCTAAATATAAGAGCTAGTTGACTAATTTGAGTAGATTAAAAAAATAAGTTAAATTAGTTATTTTTAATAAATAAGTGTTGTATTTCCTAAAATATCCTTGGTAATCAAATTTATTAGCTAGAACTATCATTATTAAAAAGATTACTTTGGAAAAAAATATATAAATATGAGAGACAAAGTAGAGTAAGGTATTATATTTATGATCAAAATAAAAATCAAACGAAATCTTATATTAAGAACTAGAGGTAGCATATGTTAACATTTTCCTAGACTAGAGTAAATATTTGGCTCTTTAATTTTATACAAGATTTCAATTTGGTATTTTTAACTTTAAAAAATATATTTTTAGTCCTTTACTTCTAAAATTATTAGCTTAAATCATGATTTTTTTATGACAATCATGTTTTTTTTAAAAAAAACTTATTATATTGATATTTTAAAATATTTTATCAAAATTCAAGATCTTAATATAATCATTTTTTGTACTAAAGGACTAAAAATATATATTTTTTAAAGTCAAGAGATCAAAATAAAACCTTGTATAAAATTAAAAGACTAAATATATATCTTTATTTATGTAAGCATTGTAAAAACATTTTAAAGATGAATTTAGTAATATTCAGATTTTATTTATTAATTACCGTCAAAAAACCTTAAAAAATTATATATTGAGATCTAAATAGTATTATTTAATTATTAAGGGCCCTAAAAATTGTTTTCTGATTTTTCCCCTAGAATTTAAAATTATAGTTAAAAATTTTATTGAGACAACATTTTTTATTATTTATTAATATTTAACTCAAGTAAACTTGTCTTCACAAGGAGGAAACGGATTCTGGAGACGACAGGACCAACACATCCACAGCGATTCCAGCTGTGAAGTGAAGTGAAGTGAAGTGCATCCAGCATTCCTTTCATTCAGTTCATTCAAGATTTCAAGGAAGTAGTATTGGTTGAGTGGTTGTGGGGTTTAACGGCCGTGTTTTCGTTCTTCTTTTTCTTCTCCTCTCTTTTTCTTGTGCTACCGGCATTGGCACTTCCCCTATTCCCTTTGTGAGTCTTTTGAGCCTTCAAATTCCGTTCTCGAACCTTCTTCACTTGCTTCCCAGATTCCGCGACCGCTTACCCTTTTTACGGTTTTCTATTTTCTTCCTCTTCCGGTCGATTTCCAATGGCTTCGTGTGAGTATTTCTTTCTTCCTCTCTTTCTTTCTTCTCTGTTTGGTGACGATGAAGGTGATTCCATTATTTCGATTAAAGATTTACAATTGCTAACTCTGGTCAGAAATTAATCTCTTATGCGTTCTTCTGTTTTTCCTTTGCTTTTCCCTCATTATCAGTGAGTAATGAGGGTGGGATATATCATCCTGCTATTTATGAGAATGTGGAACTTAATCTTTATGCTAATCTGCCTGATTTTGTTGAACTCAACCTTTATGCTTTCTTTACGTTGCTGCTTTAATATCATGAAAAATTAGAGGCAGAGGTGATGTTGCCCTCTTTTAGAGATATTGAAGTCTTTAGAAAGCACACACCTTTTTATGAAGGGTAGGAAATTCCTACTTCTTTATAGAAGCGGTGCTTGCTTACTGAGTTGGGTTATCCTTATAAAGCATCAATGGTTGGTTTTTACACTGAGTATAAAGATAGAACACGCAATGCAATATACGGATGTCTGAAACTCGGTACTAGAAGAGTCTATAGAAAAGCGTGGTAATATGTTGTGTAAGTATTTTATATTAATAGAACGTGAATCTAAAAATTTCTTGTGTTCATGCCTTGACTCTTTCAGCCACGGATGAAAATGTGATACAAAACTGCAGAGCCTCCTTACAATTAAAGAAGCTTGAGTAGAAAGAAACTAGGTTTCATGTCAAGGCTTCAACTGTAGAAAATTTTTTGAAATTCAGGTTCAAATAGCAAGTTCAAAGTCTGAGGTACCATCCCTATATACATTTTAATTATAAAACAATCAGATTGTTGTCAAGTTACACAGCAGGCAATACAAAACACAGTTATATTATTGTTGCTCATTAATATCAGAGGCATTAATTTTCATATATTTTCCGTCATGTTTTTTAATTAAATAAACTGTTAACAGCATAATGAGTTTTCAAAAATGTTATAGTAGATATTATTCTGGTATTCAAGCTTAATTTGTATGTCTTGCTTGATAACTTAGCATCGACACTAAAGTGTTCTTTGGTTAGTATATAGCATACTTAGAAGAGGAAATCACATTGTTTAGTATGATTTTCGTTACAGTTGAAATGAACAGCAAGGTTTCTGCAATTTTCTTTCAATTGATGCTGCATTAGAACAGTTCGTCCTTCTAGTATATGCTGCAAACATTCCTGTTGTGATTTAATTTGTGTTCTACTTGACGAAGTGTTCAAGCAAAAAGTAGATGCCTTTCTGTTATGAACCCAAAAAATGGACAGCGAGCAGAAGCAGAAGCAGAAGCTATCATGGTTGCAATTGGGTTATGATAAACGGTTGCAAGGAGTGTCCACCTTCAATATTTTGAAGCTAACTATGATTACATGTGCTGAGAACTGAATATGAAACTTCACAGCCCCATGATCATTTCTATTGCACTCACTTTGTTCGTTTCAGTAAACTGTAACAAGGATGCTACAAATAAGTATAAGTATATATAAGAAGTCAATTCTTTGTTTATGCCTTTTCTTCTTTCATTTTTATGTTTAACATTACAAAACGACTTCTTTCATGACTTTGCATACTGTAGATGATTGAGTCCTCTAAATTCTATCCATTAGTTAAACTTGATATCAGCCAAAAGCCACTCTTTCCTGATTCTTCCTTTGAAAATTATTCTGTTGTGCTAATATTTAGGTACTGACCATGCCAATGTTGGGAGATTTATGTTTTTTGAATTGCATTGCAGGTAGCTTAGGGACATCAAATATTAAACTCTTCAACTTAGGCACAGCTGGTAAACGAGTCGGAATTTCACAACAGTATGGTATAAGAAGTTTGACCAGTAGGAAGTCACTACAAAACACCCATTTGATCGCATCACAACGATCAGTTAAATTTTTAACTGCATGCAGTGGCCCATCATTAAAAATCCAGTGTAAGTATGCTTTAGAATAATATTCAAATCATATAAAGCAATTTAAGCATTGCATACTTTAAGGTTCATTTGCTTTAAAATAATACAATAATCTAGGTTCTTTCACAAGCCTTTATTGATTATTTAACAGCTGCTACAAGTTCAGAAGATGATTCTAAAGAGGTTAAGTCTTCTGGCCCAATAAGTGAACTTATTCCCAATTTCAATGAGGTTAGCAACATATTTTTCAATCATTATCTTTTTAATCTTACACACCTATTTATAAAAGACAACCCAGTTTATAATGACATTATTATTATGCAACCTTCATATATTGCTGGCTATGTATGTGTCAGTACCATTTTGGATAAAGATGTTACTGTGCCCTGTGTTATCTCTCGTCTATTTGGGGATTTGGGTGCTGATCAATAATATGATTTTTTTTCTAAATATGGCTAGGTTTTTTAAGACAGCCACTTGGACTGCCTAGTACCAACTATAAGACGTATGATTTTTAAACGTTGTCTGAACTCAATATATAGGCTTCTTCAGCATGTAGTTGCGCCTATTTGCTTGATCTGGTTTTACAGTAATTAAATTATATAACTTTACCATTCATCATTAGGTATTTATATAAAATTTATTGCATGAACATGTTACCCCAGCATATGAGGTGGTCTATAACTGGTCATCATGTTGCTTGAAATCTGACACGATGTATTCAGTTCCGTACCTTGAGTTCTTTCAAACCGTGCTAGCAAAGCACAAGCCACAGTTACAGAGATGAATGTGGCTTCAAGCAAATATGCTTACCCGTTAAGATTTAAGCTGATCTGGCTTATGCATTTACGTTTATTTGATGCAAAATATTTTTTAGTCCTTGGTTCTGAAATTTTAGCATGCTGAAATCATTTTCTTTTATAGTCTTGCAAGAGAGATTTGGGTCTATTTTTACGTTGTGAGATATAGACAAATTATTTATTTTGTCTTCAAATATCCTTTTGCTGAACATGAACCAATCAAGATTCATGACAAACATGTCCTATGACGTGCTTGTGTACTTTCTTGCTCTAAAATGTTGAAACATATTTTACATCAACATCTTGGCAGGTGCAATTTCTGCTCAATGAAGTGTGTGACACAAAATCAGTTCAGGAACTAGAATTGAAGGTAAGCAAAATGAAGTTGAACTATGAGTTTTGATATCTTCAAAAGATAATAGAATTCATTTCTCTCCGTCCATTGGAAATTAAGATATTATTTTTTAAGGCACTATGTTCTTATTGAATTTTCCTTTCTTCACCTCCACCTTCATAATTCCCAAATGTTATCAATCAGCTTGCTGGGTTCCACCTGCATGTAGTGCGGAATTTTGCCGAGCAAAGTACAACTGTACCTCCTTCAACATCCTCTTCTGTTAGTGCAAACACTGTCACAGAATCATCTGATTTGAATGGATCAGTTTCCACATCATCTTTGGCCATCTCTAAACCAGAAGCTTCTTCGGGGAGTAAGGGACTTCTGGATAAAGCTGCAGACGAAGGTTTGGTTATAGTTACATCCCCAAGGGTAAGAAAACGACTTTTATAATATTTATATTCCCTTCAAGTTAAAACATAAATTCATAAACTCATAAATCATTTAACAGGTTGGGTTCTTTCGGACATCTCGAACCATAAAGGGAAAGCGTGCCCCACCATCATGTAAAGAGGTAGTGTCATTCATTTCCGGTTCTCTTCTCACTCTCTCTTTTCCCTTTTAGTTATTTAGATGGTCAAGGATAATTTTATTACCTACTCCTCCGGTCCTTAATATAAGATCCATTTAACTAATTTGATTAGATTAAGGAAGTTAGGTAAGTTAGTTAATTATAAGAAAAGTGACACATTTTTCCTAAAATACCATAATCATCTTTTTTAATACACCCTCTCCCTCTTCTATTTGATTATGGTTGAGGGAGTATCTATAGGGGTAATTTAGAGAAAATTAATAAATATGAGAAATGGGTCTTATATTTAGGACCAAAACCAACTCAAGAATTAGGTCCTATATTAAGGACCGGAGGAGTATTTACGTTCTGGGAGCTTATGTAGATGTGGATGATTCTATCCGTTGTGATTTTAGACCTGAATATTTGATTTTCCTCTCTTTTGAATCAGAAATTAGATTTTATAGCAAAAGTTTTCTATCTACAGAAAATTGCACTGATCACTGAAAGTCTTGTTATCAGCTTTCCCACGCGCTCACACACGTACACTCCATAAATCGTATTGAAGTTAACTGGATTGACATGCTAGATTATGATTAACATTCATACCTGGGAATTGGCAGAAGCAAATAGTAAAGGAGGGCCAACCCATATGTTACGTAGAACAGCTTGGTGGTGAACTGCCAATCGAGGTTCGGCTCTCAGACTTGAAATGTTTTCATATTCTTGTGATGATCATGACAAGTATAATAACCATTGCGATGTCTGATAATTTGTTCATATCTGTTTCCAGTCCGATGTATCAGGGGAGATCGTGAAGATTCTTAAAAAGGATGGAGGTTAGTCAACTCAAACATTCCTTGGAACCTATTAAACCAGTCTTGTGTTGATGTCATGTGTCCATAATTTGCTTGTCTTGTTGCCTTTACAGAGCCTGTTGGATATGGTGATGCACTTATTGCAATCTTGCCGTCATTCCCAGGAATAAAGCTTCAGTAGACATTATGGTGGTTGTTTCGTTGTGCTATTAGAATCAATAAACCGGGAATTGTGTATACAGAAAGAGATGATCAAATTTGCTGTTTCGTCCTTTGTTGTCTGTTACAGTTAGCTGTTAGCAAATTCTTTGCGTTTTATTACTTTGCCTATGGTTCTAGGAAGAAACTGAGAAACAAATACTCCCAAACATAACCGGAGATCTATTCGATTTCTTTGAGTAATATTTGCATTTGGTTGTCCAAACTCCAACGTATGCTTTGCTAATTTTATCTACAATTTGTCAAAATTTTTAATTTCATGACAATACCAATGACAAGGATTGATGGTATCCTGTTACATACAACTCCAGTCTTTAATATGTAAAGAATTGAAAATTGGTTAGACCATTTTTTGTCAAAAATTCAAATAGTATTGTCCTTATTAATTACATCAAGGTTTAACATCAAGTCATCAACTTTTACGGCTTGTTTGAAATAATGTGTAAGTATATTTTATGTAAACTGAGATAAATTTTTTTTTTATATACTTATTTTTCATCTTATAAATTTTAATTGAAAAGTTGTTTATAAGTCATTTTAAGTGATTTTTTAATTAATTGCCTAGTTCTAGTATAATGTTTCCAGCTTTAAGACTTAATTTGTGGGGATTTAGTTGATGGTTCGGATTTTGATCCCCTCATTATCCCATTTTTTTCCCCTTTATCTCCCCAATGAATGGTTGAAAATGTATACAGACTCCACATCAAATTTTTTTTAACTAAATAATAAAAATAATTTAAATCAAGTACATTAATCATATTATTTTTTAGGTTATTAATCATGATATTTTATTTTTTTTAACTAAAATATCTACATTTCTTTTTTCTTTTTTGGCCCTATTACATTTCCTTTTTCTTGAATAAAACGACAAAAAAAAATATGCAATAATTTTTCTAGATTGCTTCTCTCTCTCCAAGTTTTTTTCCCTCCATATTGTTTCATTTCCCCAACAATATGTACATAAAAAAATTTCCCAACAATTGGAGGTTTAGACTTGTCATCCTACGCTGCGCCGGACGTGAGGAGGAGAAAAGCAACAAAACGTTGCTTTCATTTTGAAAGCAATTTTGGGTCAGAAGCCAGTTGGAGAAAACGCGTTACCCAACATGAATTTGGGCTGGAAGTTGCTTGCGGCTGGGGGTACTCAAGCGTGATCCAAACACAGCCTGTAAACAATCTACATTTTAATGTCTTTTGGCAGTTTTTAACCTATCATGATTTATTATTTTATTACAAGAGTAAGAAAATACAAACAACCTAATAAGAGATAAAATTTTAGGAAGGATCCATAAAAAAATTAGGCAGGAAAAATTAGGGAATATCTTTCTCATTAAGTTTGACTTGTACTGTGTACACGATTTTGAGATATACTTCTATTTAGTATTTATAATCCTCCATTTATTATAATATAATGTAAATTTTCCCCAAAAAAAATCCTTGATGTCTTTAGTATATGGATGAATGTTCAGCATTTAATAATTTAGATTCATGAATGAAAGAGGAAGATAAGATGATTTATGAAATAATAATTAGCTTCTCTGAATCTTGAGATGTCTTGTATATCCATAAATTGTGATAATATTTAAAGCATTTTAAAAATATTTTCAAATGTCAAAAAATATCTTCCAAATTAAAATGCCATAATAATCCACGATAAAAATTGAAAAAAAATCTCAAAACTCCCAAATGACAGAACTATTGTCCCATCACAAGATATAAGAATTTTGAATAATTTTTCTGATAACATATTATTAGAAATAAATGTTAATGTAGTTGTTTTAAATTTTTTTGTTAAGTATTCCGAATTTCCGATCCACCTAATTCATTTTTTTGCTGGTAAAAAAAACTTGTTTTTTTTCCCAATTTTCATCCCATTGAAATAGAATTGATTGAACTTAACAATCATTAAATCCACCATTAGTAATGAGTTGGTCTTTTAATCAATCTAACCCATTTTAATGACTCTAATATTAGTGTTAGAATGAACACGTAGGATGGATTTCATTTTTAAGATAAAATTAATATTCGAGTCCAAACTTTCAAAACAAAATTGGTGTTTCCACTTTCTACCACTACTACACAGCATTTTTTTTCCCCAAATGTATCTGAGTTATATATACTTCCTCAACTTGAAGTAATGAGCAATAGATTAACATAAAATTTGAATGAAAGGAAAGATCTTTTATGTAGGGATTTATACATTATATATTTATGCCGTATGGCATGTCAACCCAGAAAACTTAACAGTTCACTGTTCTTATAATCCAGTCAATTAGATCCTCGATAAAATCATGACATAATAATTAAATAAAAATTTAATAAAGAATAATTATATGCAAAATATATATAAGAAATAAATTCATAATAAGTCCAATTTTTAATATAATTACACCACAATATATGAAAATTTTCAATGATATGACGCCATGTGACTATAATGGAATGTAAAGCAATATAATGGAATGTAATGTAATAATAATTACATGAGTTTGTTTGGTACACTATCAAGAAAAGATAATATATAGACATAAAAATGTTTGGTTAGATTACTAAAAATATGAGAATAGGTAATAATAATGTATTAAAAGACAAAATTACCCTTATTTACATATATATATATATATAAGTGATATGATTATTAAAAAAAAGTGAAAAAGAAGTAATAAACTTTATATAAGATTTCAACTTATAAAAGGTCACTAAAAAAATAAAATACAAGTACCAAACAAGATTATAGCACCCATTGCATACCCACAGTAAGGAAGTAATATAAAAAATCACAAAAATAAAAAGCAACTTAATCACAAATAAATCAATCAATGTAAGCTGTATGTCTCATAAAGTAGCACATAAAAGCATTCAAAAAAATTATTATTGAATTTTTTCAGAAAAAAAAGAGCTGTTAATTGTGTCATCTAATCCATCTCAGAAACATAAAAATAAATTGTTAATTATATCGAGATCCATTACTAGAAGAAAGGGTGGGGCAAAGAAGTTTAGAAATTGCTGCAAAAAATCATAGTGACTAATCGAGAATCATGGCAGATATATAGTATCAACATTGCTGGAGATTGATAGTCGCACTAATTAAGATGAGTTCGAAAAACATAAGACAAAGACAGTTTTCGATGGGTGAGAAAAGCAAAATTAAGCTAATTTCGGTGAAAGAATTACGAAATTGTTTCAAAGAGAAAAAAAATCAAAGAGACAAGTTGATAGTAGACCTTCGATTCATGGATGACAATAACGACGGTGCCTCTATTTATAGGCGATAACAGCAACAGTAAAGAGAGTGGGCCAGTAGTGGTTAAGTTTAAGGGTATTTCATTAAGGATATTTTGATCCATTTAAAAATTATAACGGTAATAATTTTTTTTAATTTGATTACAAGAGGTCTGTATCTCCATTCATTAGTTTTATGAGTGTAATCCCTTTTATATTATTTAAGGTAATCAGGATTACAAAATGTAATTTTATTTACATTACACAAACCCAACCAAACAATTGTATCAATCCATTACATTATGATTACATGTAATCTCCTCACATGGAATCCAACCAAACGGGCTATAAGCTGTATGAAAAAATGTTGGGTTTCTTGAAAGAGTCAATTTTTTTTTTATTGTTTTATCGGTTTTCTGAAAATCATTTCAATTTCGACCCAATTTTGAGTTTCGACTCAATGGTGGTCAATTTTAGTCTCACCAGACACTCAATTATAAAAACAGGTTTTTATGTTTTTATCTAAATCGAGTAATTCAAATGCTTGGTTGATAGTCCCACCGATCCGATCATTGAGGGGGTGTTTAGAATACCCCATAATCACTTTTCAAAAATACTTTCTGTAAATTGAGACAAACTTCTTCACATATTTACTTTGTATACCGTAAAAACACTTCTAAAACTATGGTTCTGTTCTTACCCAAACACTCTCTTAGTCTTTGCGGATTCTTTAATCATTGCTTAAAACTCTAAAATTCACCATCAATTCCCAAGAATGATAAGCTTTTATGAGATACTCTTCTAATTTTATTTATAGGATAAAGAGAAAAAAAAATTTGATCCTATTTATAAGGTATTGAGAGAAATTTTTTGTGTGAATGTACAATTTTACCTTTCATTTATTATTGTGTTAATTATATTTACATGAGATATAATATATATTAAAGAGGGTTAAAGTTGAAAAGTTGTTGAATTTTAAACGAGAATTAATGAAATTTAAGATTTTCTTGATATATGTAAATATGTTGGAAGTGATTTATAAATAGGATAAAAGGAGTATTTATTATGCTGTTTTATTTTATAACAATATTTATTTCCAATTGTTGCTATTTTTAATAAAGGTACAGCGCTAATTTCTCTCATATCTTTAAGTATTTTTATACTTATGTAAATAATTAATACTACCCCCGATTGTCAATATAAGACCCAATTGACTAATTTTAAAAAATTTAAAAAGTTAAACAAATTACTTTAAAGTATTTATATTTATTATTTTTCTTTAAATTAATTTTCCTGACTTATAAATTGATCTAGTACAATCTAATGATACATCTAACCTAACTATATAAGTATTTTATAGAAAAATCACGTAACATATGTTATAATTAAGTAATTTATTTAGTTATTTTAATCTTCTCAAATTAATTAATTGGCTTTTGTATTAATTTGATAAGCCAAATGTAATTGTAAACGTTGAAGAAGTTGTCCAAAAACCTATTGAACTACAACCAAATCATTCGAGTGATCCTTTTGGCGTTAAGAAGAGTTATAAAAACTGCAGAACTCTATCCTAATGGAATTGCATGCTCAAAATTTAAATATAATTAATTAAAAGTACGGCTTTTACCACCTAAGCTTTATGCTGGTCAGCTGGATATGATAAAATTTTGCAAATTTTTTTTTCACAAAAAAATTAAAATTTTAGAAAATTTTACACGAAAGAATTTTGTTGTAGTCTTCCAATGAATCTATTCAAGTCTGTCAATGAATCTACTAATAAGATTAAAATTTTCCTGATTTATATGTAAATCTAAATGGAAAACAACCCCTTTTTCTTTTTTCCTTTTGGACACAAAAGATCTTGGCAGTTGGGAGCGAGAAAGAACGCGGAGAGGCTAACCTTTGAAGGCTATTATCGTCTTTTCAGGAGAAATGAGCCCTCCAATTTTTAACGGGATTTGGCGATTCTGTTTTTCTCGAATCATGCGTTCCACCATGTCACCTTCTTCACAACGTATAGAAGAATCCTTCGTCTTCCTCATTTACTTTGTTCCTATTACGATGATCTTCCATCTTCTTCTCTAGGTTTCTCTTCTAATAATTTCCCATCTTCGCATTCGCCAAACCGTTTCAGTTTCTTTTCGTTCCCCGCAATCAATGCATCGTCTTCATCAAATGGTTTTTTCTGGGTGACATGAGCTTCTTCCATTTCTACTCCGCCATATAGGTTGATCCCTATCAGCAACAGCTTCACGACCATCCATGAGTAACGCTTCTTCTTCCGCGTGTCAATTTGATGGTGATGAGAAGTACCCTGCTTCATTTGACTTTGAATCCGAGCACCCATCGTTCAAGAGGCACGCAAATCCATCGACACTTTCGAATTCGAGGGCACAGGTACTGAACGATGCGAGGACCCGCTATTTCAAGACTCAACTCTGCAGAAGGTTTAGACAGGGAATTTGTACACTTGGGTCCGATTGTAGTTTTGCTCATAGCGTTGGAGAGCTTCGAAGGCAAGAATTGGGTAATGACGATAGAAGATTACAGGAGTCCAAACTATGCAGAATGTTCTATCAAGGGCAACAATGCTATTATGGAAACACCTGCCGTTTCCTTCATACAAGACCTGGCAGTGTGAATTCTAGAGGCAATGCAACAGTAGAAGTAATTCCTACCGGACACGGTAAAAGAAAATATGATCAAGTAGAATCCCAGAGCGGGTTTGATGAGAGTTCTGATGCTGAGTTGAATCCTAGGAGAGAGCCGCTGAAAACGAAGCTGTGTATCAAGTGGGACATGAAAGGACATTGTCCGTATGGACGTATGTGTCGCTTTGCTCATGGGCAAGCCGGTAAAATTTTGATGTTTATCATTTCATTTCTGTTTAGTTTTCCAGATATGCCTTGGTTTGGTCCTTGAAATATGCATGGAGAACGATGACCCTTGATTCTCTGTCAGTAATTGGTTGCTAAAGACAAGGAAATTAAAACTCCAATATCAGCATGTGTGCTATTGATTTTCTCCATGAAGTAGTTGGGACTTCAAAGGTGGACAAAATTTATGGGACCACAACGAGAATACTGTCATTTTAAAATTGTTAACTGGTCAAGATCATAGGGTATTTGCATCATTTAGTAAAACTCTGATTACATTTCATTCAGCAAATATGCCATGGAATTATAAATCCATACATAGGAAAAGTCAGGTGCCTGATTTAACCTTCCCGAATGGAGGACATGCGAGAGATTTCTACGGACCATGTACCCAAGATTGATTGAACCGGCTTTAGACCTTCATTCTGCCTTTATTTTCTGATTCTACAAAGTAGGAGAGATTCAAATGTTGTCAATATTACATTTTGTCATTTTGTCAGCAGCAACCTTGAGAAAAGTGAAATATATTTTGGTCCAAGAAAACAAAATACTTTACAGTTTTGGTAGGAGGAAAACAGAAACTACATCACTGAGAACGAAATTTGAGTCTGGCAATCTTTACTCTTTTTTTTTCCCCCCTTAGGTATTAGTATTTGATATTTGATGTTTTCTGTAAGAAAATAAGAATGACATAATCATAAGATCCAAGTAAATTAAGTCAATTTGAGCATATAACATATCATGCACACTTTCTAAACGAGAATTATCTCTTATATGCTTACTCATCTAGTCATGATTGTATTGATTCTACTTAGAATTTGTACATATTCAATTATAAGTAATTTGCGCAGGATGCTGTTATTGACATGTATCACTATCCCCCTTAATGATCTGTTGAGGATCCTAATTAATTGACGAATAGAGATGATCTTCTTAAATAATCCCAAATTCCTCTACTCAATGCAGAATTAGGGAAGACTGATGGCTACTCAACTGCTGAAGGAAGGGTAGTGCGAACTTCTGCTACTGCTACTACAAAAGTGTCGAGTGGTGTAGTATCAACCAGTAGTTTGCTTCAAAATTTGAAAGAATCATTTTCAGGAAATTACAAATTCAACAGAAATGAACTACACAGGATCAGTCGCATCTATGCTGATTGGATTTAAACATATAACATGTTGCTCGGCCTTGTGTTTCTAGGGAGATTTGCTTCTCAATTAGCCTGAACAGAAATTTGAGAAATTTGATTCACTCTTTTGTATAGCCCCCGACAACTTCATAACTTTTTTATGTGGCTATGATAACCTTGTAGATTAAACAAAACAACACCTTTCAAAGTAATAATAGCAGTGCAGAAGAAATTAGAATTCTGAGACGCTCATGCTC